TAGGGTTTAGGGTTTAGGGTTTAGGGTTTAGGGTTTGGGTGTATAGGGGAAGGGTTTAGGGTTTAGGGTTTAGGGTTTGGGGTTTGGGTATATAGGGTAAGGGGTTTAGATGAGGGTTTAGGGTTTAGGGTTTAGGGTTTGTGTATATAAGGGGGAAGGGTTTAGAGCAGGGTTTAGGGTTTAGGGTTTGTGTGTATAGGGTGAAGGGTTTAGAAGAAGGGAGGGGTTTAGGGTTTAGGGTTTAGGGTTTAGGGTTTAGGGTTTGTGTGTATAGGGTGAAGGGTTTAGAGCAGGGTTTAGGGTTTAGGGTTTAGGGTTTAGGGTTTGTGTGTATAGTGTGAAGGGTTTAGAGGAAGGTAGGGGTTTAATAGAAGCAGATTCTTTCTTTTCGGGTTTAGGGTTTAGGGTTTAGGGTTTAGGGTTTGTGTGAATTTTTTTTCGTGTTTAGGGTTTAGGGTTTAGGGTTTAGGGTTTAGGGTTTGTGTGTATAGTGTGAAGGGTTTAGAGGAAGGTAGGGGTTTAATAGAAGCCGATTCTTTCTTTTCGTGTTTAGGGTTTAGGGTTTAGGGTTGAGGGTTTAGGGTTTAGGGTTTGTGTGTATAGGGTGAAGTATTTCAAGGGTTTAGGGTTTAGGGTTTAGGGTTTGTGTGTATAGTGTGAAGGGTTTAGAGGAAGGTAGGGGTTTACTAGAGTCTGATTCTTTCTTTTCGGGTTTAGGGTTTAGGGTGTGTGTGTATAGGGTGAAGGGGCGGTTGCTAGGGTTTAGGGTTTAGGGTTTAGGGTTTAGGGTTTAGGGTTTGTGTGTATAGTGTGAAGGGTTTAGAGGAAGGTAGGGGTTTAATAGAGGCCGATTCTTTCTTTTCGGGTTTAGGGTTTAGGGTTTAGGGTTTAGGGTTTGTGTGTATAGGGTGAAGGGTTTAGAGCAGGGTTTAGGGTTTAGGGTTTAGGGTTTAGGGTTTAGGGTTTAGGGTTTGTGTGTACAGTGTGAAGGGTTTAGAGGAAGGTAGGGGTTTACTAGAGTCCGATTCTTTCTTTTCGGGTTTAGGGTTTAGGGTGTGTGTGTATAGGGTGAAGGGGCGGTTGCTAGGGTTTAGGGTTTAGGGTTTAGGGTTTAGGGTTTGTGTGTATAGGGTGAAGGGTTTAGAGGAAGGTAGGGGTTTACTAGAGTCCGATGGTTTTGTGTTTTATCGGCGGCCTCTCCCTTTTTCTATTCTTCTTTATTCTGTTTTGGGGGTTTATTATTTACCTCAGCTAGCGCTAGCAATGTCTTGTCACATAGGTAAACCCTAAACCCTAAACCCTAAACCCTAAACCCTAAACCCTAGATGCTGGGTAGAAGGTAGAGACGGGGGGAGAAGGAGAAAGGGGTTTAGGGTTTAGGGTTTGGGGTTTTTGGTGTGTGTAGAAGTGCATAGATACAAGAGGTGTTTAGG